TAAGTAAATCCCAGACAAAATCCTCATTACTAAATATCTTGGACTAGTTTATTTTAAATTGCCTCATCGACTTCAAACAACATCAATTCATATTGATTACACATGGTAACTTTTAATAGTGCCCGATTATTTATAAGGACGACATAATTTCCAGCTTCGACAGGTCGAAAAGGACAAAGAGAGGTTTAGCGGACGGAATTAAATAATGCGTGGGTAGAACAACAACGTGCATTGTAATAAAATAGGCTCAATCCCTTGATTTTCCGATTTACCGATTTCTTGTTAAAGTTTACTGCTTCACGTCGCCGCCACTTAGTGGGGCAACACCCTTATATCTCTAAGCGCGTCGCTGGAGACGGGACACCTTGTTAACCAAAACTCTTCTCTTACAAAAAGATTAAGTGCCCGAAGCTCCAATAAACGCTTCTCTACACAATGACAATGTATGCGTTGCTTAATAATTTATTTACCGTTCTAGCGAAAACTCTGTGTACCGGCCCATTAAGATTTTGATAGGAGTTATAAAAGTGTCGTGAATTTTTAAAGACGTTTTAACATTCATTATTTACAAACCGAGCGACTTAAACGTAACGGAATAACAATGGAATGCCGTTAAAATAATGCGAGAGCTTCCTTTTGTCTCGCGGAGTGGTTTTTTAAAATTAAGGAACGACGTGCGGCGGCTCGAGGTACGGCGGAATTTTAATTATTTTTTTTTTCTTGACGGACGCGGATGAGTTTTCGTTTCTTTCATTAACGAGGACGTATACAATGGAATAAACACGGAGACTTTAACCCTACGCCCGATTTTCTTGTAACGGGATCGTAATTTCTTCGGAGAGCTTTTCTTTTTTCAAACAATCAGAAATAGATTGTTGGTTCTCGAAAACGGCTGTCGCAAAGGGAAAGAAGATTCGAGGCTATGGGATGACGCGGCTTAATTTTCATTCATTATTCATCATTTGTTATAAGGAACTTTGTATCTAATTTGTCAAAATTATTTATTTGCTAAGTTAAAAATACATATTAATGGAAAAACACCAAAAAAATAAATTTTATTCAATACAGACGAAATTGACTGTAAAAAATTGAGAAAGCGTGAGCATCTTTTGTCACATGGTACGATTTTATGTGTTCATATTGTTACCGTTTAAGAAGTTAAGGTTTTAACAATATTGTTATTAAACCAAGATCCATACAATGTAGAGACAGACCTCACTCGACGAATAGGTTTGCACTTAATGGCGATGGCAAAAACCATTACGGAACTAAAAAGAATAATTTAAGGCCATAATTATGGGCGTGACTATAAAATCCCGGTAAATCACTTGGATAATTGACAACATCGAAGAAATATATGAGTGCAAACATATTGCGTGTTGCCTCGATGTGGAAAACAACGTTATCGATGATTTCTTTAGCTTCGTTATCTTTTTGATCATCGTTATGGCTTTGGGTTTCAGAGTCTCGAACATCTGGCGCTTTGGTTAATAAAAATATGGAATGATTTTGTTTTTTGGCAGCGTTGAGCTCTGTCAATTTATTAGTCCTTGATATGATATATCCTCGCTGTTGTTGGTTTTGTCAGAAATCAATTTTATAAAACAATGTATGGCTCCTTTCACATTATCGCCAGTTAAGGTTATTTACCAATACCAAACTTTGGAAACGGGATTCACTTCCGGTATCAATTTATTCAATAAAGATAAAGTTTGGGAGTTCTACCTAATTTGTTACTACAGAAAAAATCTCGTTTAAACATTGCCTTTTACTCAAGACAAAAATTTGTCTTCTTTTAAATATATATCTTAGTAGGATGCGAAAAAAAAATTGAACTCTTGCGTCAAATAGTTTTTTATTAACAGCACTTTAAACAAGACGTGTCCGAAGAAATGTCGCAAATTGAGTATAGAGCAGTCATAAAGTTTTTGACAAAAGAAGGGTTAGCACCTAAAAGTATTAAAGAATGGCAGGATGATGTGTACGGCCAAAGTTCTCCTTCGTATTCTGTAGTGAAAGAATGGGCAAAACGTTTTCGAATGGGGCAGGAGTATTTTGATGATGATTCAAGAACTAGTCGATCAGTGGAGGTCATAACGGAAGATATTGTTGCGATTGTGAAAGAGATGGTATTGAGTGATCGACGTTTAAGGGTCAAGGAAATCTCAGAAATTACTAAGCTTTTTGATACAAGTGTTCGTCGAATCCAGCATGATCATTTATGTATGCATAAGGTTAGTGCAAGATGGATTCCTAAAATCCTTTCGGCTATTCAAAAACAACGCCGTGTCGAGTGTGCGCGGTCTTATTTGAAACTCTGTGGGTCGCAACCGAAGCCTGTGATAGAAACGATTATGACGGAAGATGAAACTATGGTTTTCTATTATGACCCTCTATCCTCCAAGAAAATTCAGAGTCTGCCAGTCAACAAAAAAGGTTATTGTCAGTAATACCACTGTCAATGGTCAATATTACGCAATATAATTACATAAATTGCGACACTGCATACGTGTAAAATGTCGAGGAAAACTGACCAGACGCGTGCGTCTTTTGGACGATAATGCACCTGTCCATACTGCTGGTGTTCCACAAGCTGCCATTTTAGAGTGTGGATTCCAACAGATAGATCATCCTCCCTATAGTTCAGATATGGCCCCCAGCATTTGTTTGGATATTTGAGAAAGGACTTACGTGGATGGCGGTTTAACGACGAAGTTGAGTTAAAAGAGGCTGTCTTAACTCATTTTGCAGACAAAACAAAAGAATATTTTTTTAAAGAGATTTAGTTGTTAATAAAGATATGTAAGGGTTGATTATATTGAAAAATAATAAAAAATTGTTACTCTACTTTGTTTCTTTCATATTCAGGACGGGAAATTTTGGCGCTGCCCTCGTATTATCATTTTATTACGACATCAACTCAAGATTTTTTTTTTCAAAGAAACTTCTAAAGGGTACTGTATGTAATACTATTTACAAAACTTCTGGATTCCTCCTGAAGTTCTGTAAATAGTAATTCAAGCAATTTTTATATCACGGAGATATAATTGAAAATATTTTAAAAATCATAAAAACGTAATCCAAAAATTTTAAGTGTTATCAAGTACACTGTAAAACACTAGAGTGATGCTTAGAGTGTAAAATAAACAAACATAAATTGACTGGAATGACTCCTATCCTTTCCACGCAAATTGGATTATGCGATAAAAGAGTTGTATCGTAAGCCTTTACTTAGCTTGAATCTTGAATTTTAAAAAACTGAATGGTTTGTCTGGTCCTCTTGGGTTATAACATTGCTGATTTTAAATATATTTAGTCAAAATCCACATACAAATCTCACATTGAAGATATAGGAAAGGAGTTCTTATTCCTTTAAATGATCAAGCAAATAATAATTGTAAAATATGATAAATTGTTTTGAGAATTTATTATTTGTCGAAATATATTTTTGAAAAATTCTACTTAGCACATTAGAACTGTCATTAGCAGAGTCATTGTTAAAATTATTGGTTAGTGTGTAGTCGTTTAATAAAACAATTAATTAACCCAAACCTCTGAAACAATACAACGTAGAATGATTGTCAGTTTCATTTAGAGAAAATTCAGTTTGGTCGCTAAACGTTTTTACTTTGCCGAATCGCATTAATCAAGTTCAGCGGATAGTGTACAATTTCCAGTGGCCTAATTTTACATACGAATTCACAATCAACAACCACAATTTCCATTTGGGGCAAATTTGCATAAAAACAACAAACTAACCGTTCGTAAATTTTCCAGTTTAATTATGTAAATAAATTAAAATTGGGAAATTGGGAAAATTGTTTAATAGAAAACCGAGAAAAAATGGATGCGGTTACACTCCATTTAAACGTGGCCCCGTGCTTTTGGTGGATCAACAATTTGTCTGATTTTATTGCTAACCAGAGAAAAATTGATATTTGATAATAGGGTGACGATCAAATTGGAAAACACGGTTATACTTGAAAATGTTCTTTTAGGAAAAGGTTATGTTATATTATGATATGTTTAGTCTTAATCCCATCAACCTTCAATTTTTAGTCGGTAACCGGAAACATTCAGAAGCGTTTTTATTTATAAAAAAATGTCTCTTTGGGAGGCTTTGAAAGCAAAAATCAAACCTTGTAAAGATAGTAATATAACTATGACTATAGCAAAGAACTTTCCAAAACACTTTGATAATCTACTAAAACTGAATTAAGAAATTTAAATACTAATATGTTCTTATCATCTAGTGGAATTGGATTAGGTATTTTCAAAATTCATTGTTATATTAGGTATTCAATTTTTTATAATGAATTACAGACTTAATCCCTAATTAAATAAAATTATTACCAAAAAATGATTTAACTTTGTTCAATTAAAAAAAAAAATCTAAAAAGGAGGAATCTTTAATGTCGATTGTCAAAATGCCATATGTTTGTAATGATTTTCGAATTATAAATTAATTGATAAAATACCGTACACATTCGCATCGTATGTTCTACATCGTATTCTGGATAAAACCCCACAAAATGTATAACATCAAAATATGAAATATTTAACAAAAAATGTAAAACGCCACATTTTTGGCATTTACTTTACAGTTTTGGATATGGCATAGCATTTTTTAAATAATAGAGTTTCATTCGAATAACAATAGTCTCTAAATAATAAATATTGATAATATTAACAGATTCATTTCTGTTGTTTTACCGAAGAAAAGGAGTAAATGTTTAAAACGTGGTTATTGAAACTTATTCGAAAAACCCATGGAGAAGCGAAAAAAATAAAAAAAGCTATTCGTTAATTAGGAAGTTGTAGGGTGAACATCTTTAAAAATAACTACGTACACAGATAAAAGTAGGCGCTTCGTATACTTATAGTCCGTAGACACTTTTTTCTCAGGCTGTATGATGAGAAATAACCAAACCCAAACAATTTTGAAAAAATGTACGATGCAATAAATTAGATTCAAAATGACAAAAGAAAAATGGACTAACCTTCCAGAAGGCGATCGCAGTAACTTCCGACGCTAAGCTTCCCCCTGTAGGATCTCTGCGTCGCGTTCCCGTAGCGAATTTTCGCGTCGGAAAGTTTCAGGAACTTGTAGGAAAGTTTGAATTCGAAACTGTAGCCGGAACTTTGCTGCAAAGACATACATCAACGCTATCGATTTTGCTATTAGAATTTAACGCGAAAAGTCACACACGCGGGGCACTGTAAAATATTTGCGGTCAGACCCATGTAAAGCATATCACGATATGCTAGAAAATTACCGTCGACGGAAGCGTCAGATAGCGAAAACTATAATTAAATGGGAAGTTACCGTCCAAGATAAGGATGCGCCCAATTTAAATTAGAGAAACACATTATGGAAATTTAATATCTTTTTTATAAATAACGACTTATGTTTTTAAGGACATAGTAATAACAGCTCATTATTTATCCGAAAACCGTACTCTAATGTTTTGCATTACAAACTAATTAAAATAAAATGGTACTTGTTTCTGGCTACTTCGCATGTTTTATTCCCGGATTCTAAATATACCGGACGAGTATCATAGACGTGTGTGTTGGTAGCAAAGAAGGAGGTAGGTGTAATAAAATGATTATAATAAAGCTTGTTCTTGGCTTTTAACATTTTCATCTTCAAAAAACTGTATCATTTTCATTAACTTATATTATAAAATATGTGTCGTCTCTATGTTTTAAGAGAGATCTCTTTTTTTTTCATTCGTTTTAATAGTTTCCATAAAGTACTTCTCTTCAGGGATTGAAAATCACCGTCTTTTTGAATTAAAGTGAGAATTTTACTCAATGTATGTACTATACGTGGTAATCCTGTTTCCAAAGAACTGTTTAGCTCAAGTTTTGGTCGGCCTGGAAAGACTATCGACGGTTTGAGGATGCTATCATGGATCATGGATCATGGATCTTCATTTAGAAGTAGGCAAATTGTTTTTTTTTTAATACCAAGCATCTCTGTCACATTATAATCAACACTCCGATATGCGTTTTCACTTTTAACAGCGTCATAACAATAAAGAATCTATTTTTTTTGCATTCATTTTCATGTCATTTTATAGAGTTTATATGCAATGACAATTTGGAACCTGTACTATTATTATTAGGTCCTTATTACAGAAGGATGAAAACTAAGAATTTTGACATTTTTTGTTTACATTATAATACTTCGCCTTCGGTCATTTCGTTATTATTATCCCTCATAACAATCAATTTTTGATTATCGGCGGCAACCGTTTTCGATGATTTATTACTGTGTATTTTTAAGAGACAGACTATAATCAGATTGTTAATATGTTAATAAATATAGTTGTTCCCACAGTCAAATTTAGTTTTAATTTCCATTTCAAGATTTTCATTGATAATTCTTAAATAGTAATCTAAATGGAGAAGTCGGTTTTAAATTTATAATAAATATCATTCTTGGCGTTTGTATTTGAAATTCCTGCGTCAAGGATATTTAGCTGGTGAAGCGGTGGTAATTAATAATAAATACCCACCATCGTTAATAAATAAAATTCTCTCCTGTAATAGTGCCACTACAGACCTGCCTAATGCTTTACAACCACAGCTTAATGTTAATAATGAGTTGCCTAGTTTTGGCAAACTACAGTATATAGATAGATTGTCCCCGGCTCTGATTAGGATCTTTAAAGATACTAATATAAAAATTGCCATTTACAACTTAAGACCCCTCAAATCTTTCTATTCCAATCAGAAATCAGACGTTGTATATTGCATTAAATGCTCTTGCAATTTAATTTACATTGGTCATACTTTACAGAAGTTAAAAAAACGGCTAACACTTCATAAAAGTGATTGTAAGTTAAAACCAAATATTACTAGTTTAAGTGCTCATGTCAATGATACCGGATATAGTGTCATGTACGATGAAGCGGTAGTATTAAGGAGTGAAAAGAACCTCTTCAAACGTAAGTTTTTAGAGATGTGTTATATTAACTGTTGTAGTAATAGCCTCAACAGAAAGAAGGATGTTGAGGGTCTTAGTAGCATCTACACCTATCTTCTTAATCAGAGTCGTACTGCGAAGCATAAGCTACCAGAGTTTTTTGATACGGTCAGGTTGTAGTGGGTTGCTAAATTTGTTGCTATTAATGTCATAAAGGATTGTTTCTAATTACCCTTAACGTTAACTTCAATAATGTAAATATAGTTATATAAATAGTGTACAATGGGTGCATATTTGAAAGAATTCTGTTTAAAATTCCCTCCCTTGTTTGGTGTTTTACATATGTTATGGTTGGCTGTACAGTTGGTATCATTGACTGGTTTCTTGGTTGTGGCTTTTTTTTAGGTTATTGCGAATTGTTAATAAGTTCCCGCACATTTAGTTTTCCTTCTCGACAATACGGAGTGTCATTTGTAACAAATCGGCTGTTTTTTTCATCTTTTAATATTTTATCAATCCGGATATTTTATTTACCTTAACGTTTTATGTTAGTGGGATTGTTTTGTAACGTTGTGGTGGAGGTTAATATTTTTTTACAGTTGTAATTTTTTTCCATTAATTTCATCCATCGAGTGTTATGTTGATAGTTAGAACGGGCGAAACACTATTTTAACCTATGTCATCTCTCTCTCTCTCTCTATATATATATATATATATATATATATATATATATATATATATATATATATATATATATATATATATATATATATATATATATATATATTCGTTTAATATTTACTTAACGGTACTAGCAAGTTTACTTTAACAATACTTTTACTTACAGCGAAAAGTACAGTCTGATTTACATTTGATAATGGCGTACGATTGATATCAATAGAGGTAATTGTATCACAGCAATTTCAGTTCTAAAAATTTTTTGAATTAAATTTTTAATTAATTCTGTTAAAAAACAAAGAACTTGTTTCTATGGAAATTAGTAATTTTTTATTTTTGCAAAGCGACAAATCGTTAACAAGAAGTGGTACACAAATAACACTTTTTGGCAAAAAAAATTATTTAAAAAAATTGAAAAAATGCCAAAAGATAAAAATGCTGTGATAAAATTACATATTTTTTTACATTGCAATACTGCATTATGAGTTTATTTTATTCATAAAAAACCCTTAAAGGATTGCGGTGCTCTGTATATATAATAGAAATTATTTTTAGATGTTTAGTTTTAATAAACTGACCTGCCGATATATTGCCACGAACAAATTGCACAGTTGCATTTGTTTTTATAACACATGATGCAAATAAATTTACCACTTTTTGTAGTTTATCCCAACGTATACCAAAATTTTTAAAAAATTCAAATAAAACACGACTAGGCTACCTACGTTAATGGTGATGTTTTGTTAACCGGTAATTGAGTAATTTATGTTTCCAACTATGTTTTGTTTTAGTTCTCGTTAATTTGAATTGACTATAATTCGAAACACACATTTAAGCTTTTGCATTTATTCAATAATAAATATTGACATATTTAGTGGGCAAAAATAATAACAAAAATGACAATAACTAGAAATTTCTAATAATACGCAGTAATTTTGATTCGCATACTAGATTTTAATAACATGCCATCATAAAGTAATATCAAAAAGTCAAGCTAAACAAGAACTCAGGAGTTCGAATTGGGGAAAGTAAAAAAATAAACTAATTAAGATGTCCGTAGCATATAATCAAGATTTTTGTAATAAAAATAACTCGCGTGACGAAAGTCTATCAAGTTTTAATGTCAAAGTATACCACAGTGCAGACTTTAAGTTACAGTAACCAGCAATTTTTCTACTGATTTTACTAAAATATACTGCGTTTCTCTTCCGGTTGATTATTAATTCCTTTATTTTTTAATAACGTGGCGGCTCGAAATTGCAAGAGAGCATGACATAAAAATGAACTTACGAGTTAAGTGTATCCAAGTATGTGTCAAAGAAAATATTTTATATATCGTTAAAATAAACACTAACATATTTTTTATTTTACGTTTTCCAAGTCTGGAAATGAAATTGAATCATATTTTTTCCAGTAACATATATTCACATTTATTTATGCTTCTCCGAGATTTTCATTACGAATAAAGTTTATTTTGTTCCATTTTTCTGAGTACAAAAGCCTTTGATCCTTTGCAGTTGCCAATTTCCTTTGGTTTGGCGTTGTGCGCGCGCGAAAGAGTGAGTTTCCTGGGAAATTCCAATTGGAAAATCGATATCCTTTGATGTGCTTTTGGAACCAGGAATTTGGATTATAATATCAATATTTTTAATATTTAGAACGTCGCATTTTTTGTTATACTTTTCTATTATAAAGGGAAATGCATCAGTATGGCAAAAGTGTAAAGTTAAAAATTTCGAAATATAATGGCTATCCATTTTAGGTGGATGGGATATTAAAAATGATTAAACTGGAAGAACAGTCAATTTACTCTTTTGAAAAAGACGAAAATGATATGAATATATATTTTTTAATATATCAGAAAGTAACTTTGGATATGGCTAGGTTAGCTACTTTTGTTTTGAAATTTACAGGTAAAAATGATTAAGGGAAGATCTTCTATTTAAAAAAAAAGAAATTGAAAAGTATCAAATGGCCCTGTCTGAGTGTTATCTCCGGTGCAACTAATCTTGGAAAAGTATTGAGATTTTTTTGATTGTCAGCGGAAGAATAAGTTTTATATTGATTGTATTACTTGTATGGTTATTTTAAAAAAATAAGTAATGTAACTGGAAAAATCTGCGTAATTAAAACTAAAATAAATAACATTTTAATGAATAATTCAATACTTTTTCAATTATTTTTGAAATACGAAGTACAATTGGGTACCTACACAGTTTTTCCTAATATATTTTTCAGTCTTCTTTAGTCCGTAAATGATATAAAAACCAAGAAAAAAACGTTAGACTAGGTATAGAAACCGAGGCACAAACAAATGTTTGATAATAACGTAGCGTTATGAACTTCTTACCTGCTGGGGTAATTTATCCAGGGCTAAGGTAAGATTAACGCTGGAGGTTTCACTGTAATAAACAGTGTAACCCCAAGCGCTTCCGCACCATTTTCCCCCGGGAGACGGTCTGTTGGTCTCCTTAATGGATATGAACCCTTCTGGACAGCCGGAGTTCGTGAATGATTCGAATGTGCCTACGGCGAAGGCCTCGAAGCTTAGCTGCAAATGCGAAATTGTTAATTAGCTAGACAATGCGGCGACTTTGATTTATAATGCGGAGCAATGCGTTCAAATTTCTAAGTGTCCTTGAAATATAGTAATATGTAATCTACTGTAACCTCTGATGATTGGCACTTTGGTACAAATTTTTCTTAAACAAATGTTAGAATTTAAATTTTTTGCGGAATACATTAAATTTTAATACAAGCTCCAAGAGATCCACATCGGCGACAACAAATTTTTATTTTTTTCTAGTAATGCCAAAACTGGTATTTCAAAACAGTAGAAAATAACTTTTTTCTACTCCCGTCTGTAAAATACCTAATTACCCACCGATCTAACGTGCGGGAAGCGTAACTTTACCACGTCAGTTCCCCACGGATCCGAGCCACTTCGGACATTTCCGGGATTTTACCGCACGGGTTTGGGAACAATCGGATGTTTCCGGAGATTTTACCGCACGGTTTGAATTTTGATGTTGTCAATTCTGTTGTTTTTGCAAAAATGTACCCACAAACTAATACACATGTTATGCAATATATCAGATCATTTAAATACTACATGCTATAAGCTACAATTAAAATCTAGTGGCTTAGTCGGTAAGCAAAGTGACATTTAAAATTTAGTTTCCCACAGAAAATTTAGGTACCGTTCGCATGAAATTTAGTAGTTTTTACAGTTTTTATATTAACATCTTGCCAGGACCCATTGTACCATTTTCAAATATCCATGTCTCATCACTATAAACAGAACAAAATTGAAGGTTAGAACCTGCTTTACCTAGCTGATACGATCTTAAAAATTTAATCCTCTTAAAAGTTCTATCCTTGGATGATTTTTCTTTCAATTAAAGTTTTTTTCTTTAAAAAAACCACTTAATGATCAATTGTAAGAGTTTAATAAATAACATAACGTTTTCAAATTGTTTTTATGCTGTTCTTTATACGACATATCCAATAATACATCTCTCTCTCTATCTAATGTACACAGTTCAAAAGGTACAACAATAGCAAAACCGATCGGATATACTGATATATCTAAAATATAGATGATCAGCTATTGAAGCTCTATAGAAAATATGAAAAATAGAAAATGTCCTTTTTTTGTTCTCACTCAATGTATATTTGTGGTTATTTAGTCGAATATTTCTCACACACCGTGCGGAAATTATGATGGGGGGTCAGGGTAGCTGACAGGGCAAAATGAAACGCATTTTCGCATTAGCTGAGTAAATGAAGCTAATAGGGCGTACAAAATGTGTTTTCAGCTGTTTCAGCAGTTTCGGAATTATTATGGCCGACAAGCTGCCTGCCTACGCGGTTCGCAGTTTAGTTAATTGGTCTTTCAGGCAGTGCCGGCCGATCAGAATCTTGCCGGATTGTAAACCAGCTGTAAAATAAAGAAAAGTCACGGTTGTTCACATAGATAGTTAATAACAATTAAAATTAAATTGAAGTTTTTAATTTAAATTGAAAATCAATACAAATAAAGTATTTACGACGGCACGACAAAAATGATAAAACCAAACCAAACCAAATTTCAATTTTGAAGTCAAAGTTTTTCCTATAAAGACAATACCTATAGACATACTCTTAAAATCATATAAAAATTTTGACATTATTTTCTTTTATAAAAATGAACGAAAACTAATGATTTTCGGTGCTGTTATTTTTTAATAACAAATAATATATCAAAAAGCATATTAGAACTCATGATTTTTGGGAATTTAGTTCAGTTAAGAATAATTTTTATTGTAGCTTACTGCATTTTAAGAAATACTAAGTTTTCAAATGTACGGTCTTTATTTAATTCGACATAGATTTTAGGATTGAATTTTAGGACTTCAAAATTTTTGTTACTTTATCTGCATAATAACAATAATAATAATAATAACAATATTAATAATAATACTAATATTGATAATAATAATATTAATAATAATAAACATTTTTAATTCAGTAAAGCGAAGTTTAACCTAACTTGATGCAACCTTAAAAAAGGCAGTGTGATGTCTCATGTCACTAAACCCTATATAAAATTGTCTGTATGCAATTGCCTATAAGCAAATTTATATTTAACATATGGAGGAGCCGAAAAATTTCTAAAAAAATATGTTGATTTTTGTAGACGCTCCATACGCATTTTAGAAAATATTGTTATGAATATATATATATATATATATATATATATATATATATATATATATATATATATATATATATATATATATATATATATATATATATATATATATATATATATATATATAGTTTGTGAGTTCTTGGATCCTTTTGATTTTATATATTCTTAAGAAATGGTTCTTGGGTTTTTTTTGGTCCTTTTTTAGTGAAATTAAAATAAGTTTCCATTACTTGTGAAACATTTTATTTTTTGTGACGTTTCGGCCTTCAAGACCTTCTTCAGACATTTAATTTTAACCTACAAAAATGTATTTTTAAATAAAATTATTTATAAGCATTGTTTTCCTGGTCATAATTAAAACATAGATAAAAATTTGTATAGGAGTCAGCATTGAAATGATGAAAAATTACTAGTGCAAGTCAATAGAACAAACAAAGTGATTAAAAATTGAATAAAAATAGATGCACAACAATAAAACATACATAATTTTTTATATTACGATTACATACATACCTTAAGCCAAAAATCAACGGTTCACTATATATGTAAATTACCAAACAACTAAATGTCTGAAGAAGGTCTTGAAGGCCGAAACGTCACAAAAAATAAAATGTTTCACAGTAACGGAAACTTATTTTAATTTCACTAAAAAAGGACCAAAAAAACCCAAAAAACCATTTCTTAAGTATATATATATATATATATATATATATATATATATATATATATATATATATATATATATATATATATATATATATATATATATATATATATATATATATATATATATATATATATATATATATATATATATACATATTTATAATATGGTTGTCTGTATGCACCTTTATGTCCAAATAGCAACATCTGTGCCAAACTCTATTGTTCCAATGTACCGAACTGTTACTTACCTATTTATTTAATTGTTGTATGGTATTAGTTGGCGTTCAATTCTGTTCTTAAATTCCTGTAATTATTCGACAAGAAAACGAATTTAGTGAAGTTTGAATATCCATAACATTTGTAATGACCTTCTGTATCTACGACAAAGCCGGCAAAAAATACTCCACTGCAGGCAGATTAAAATTCGCCCTCTATTTAAAAAGCCAGAAGCCAACGTACACAAAAACGGAAAACCTAAAACTTAAAATTCGAAATTATATTAAAATTCAGCAATTTTGGGTTTACCTTTTTATAGAAATATTTAATATTGCTAACAGAGAACACGAGCCTATATCGCTCCGATATTTTCAATGGAATTTATGATAAATAAAGTTTAATTAAAATTTGATGACATTATACAGTTTTTTTTTACTTTGATAAAATTAATTACAGAGTTCGCTGTTAGCGATGCTTTAATTTCACTAAAAGTTTCGTCGACGGAGATAAAATTAAAACTTCGCAATGTGTAAGTGTAACGACGATGCTGACGTGAAATGTATACTGGGTGTTTTTATATTTTATTTTCATTAGGACCTCAGAAATGGTGAAAAATATCATTAACCAACTTTTAGAAATATTTGTGATTAGTTTTTGAGTGAATTAAATCTTTAACTTCGTTAATTTCTTAAAAATAATATAGTAGCTTTAATTAAATTGTGGACTAAATAAGCCGAAACACCAAAAATCTTTGTAGAGACGTTGGAAATAAGGCAACAAAATTTTGAAAAAAACTAGGAATCATAATATAGAAAAATTACAAGAATAATTGTAATTAAATGTATAGAGTGAGAGTGTAAATCCACTATATTCCACAGTGAGTTTAAATTTAACATGAAGACCTCTAGTAAACATTTACAGCGTTGCATGGGCAAAATATTATTTTCGTTCGCTTGTCCTTGATACAATTACACACTGTAGTATCCGTTAATCATGTTCTCGATCACGACGTTTAAAGCAAAAAACGAGTTTTTTTCGCTTTTCTTTTTTATCTCCGCCGAACGCCGGCCGGCCGGCCGGGCTTGTGAATCATTCCGTTTTGTCGTGTTCATGTAAATCAACGAAATAAATTTGCCTCCTTAAAAATGCCAAAACGCAAAATAACCAATAGTGAGAAAAAGTGGGAGTTGAAACGACTTCAGAGAATTCAGAGTAACCCGCAATGTTTGGAATCCAGCGATTCGAGAGTGTGCCCTCATCTAGTGAGACATCAGGTAACTTACCTAATACAGAGCAGCACTTACCTTTTAGGGATCGGCAAATTATTAGTTATTGCCAGCCATATGTTTATACAGAAGAGTGAAATCATTTTTTATATCGTTGATCATGCGATCCACGCCATACGGTAACACTCGTTACCTTTTTATATCGTTGTTAGCAACGAAGGAGAGTGAAATCACTAGATTTCAACAATGCTCTCCTGAATGACTAAACTGGAACACTAAACAGCTCCGTGGAAGGTCCCCGGACCCCGAGTAGAGAGAAGGGGGGCTATGGTATCGGGTAGGTTCGGTGTGTTCGTCATAGCAAAGTCATGTCACTGAGCCCCCGTGTCAAAAAAAAAGGGGGGGGGGGGTAACAAAACGGGGCCCACTCTGGGAGGATCACTTCAAAAAAATCGTGTACACCTAAGCAGTATCTGCTCTTCTTAGAAAATTAAGTACTCTCTTCGTTGCTTACCTAGGGATATTCTGATTATGGACTTAAACAAATTTCAATGACAAAAAAAAAGGTTCAAAGTTCACAGCGGATCCACAAAATATTACCATATCTACACACTGATTGCGCCAAATTAGCCAAGACAGTAAAAACGGACGAACAGTTGTTGGGAAAGACTTGCATAACTTTTTCAAAAACAACGAAGCACTAAAGAAGTCAAGCATAGACCGAAAAAAAAAAAAAACTTTCATCAAACC